ATAATATAAACTAAAAATAGAATTAATTATAAATAAGATTAATTAATATAAATTACTTATTCATCTGATTTAGTAGTGATTAGCAATTACCATGCCATGTGCTACAGCTGCATCATATACTGCGCCACGTCTACTACGTCATACAAATAGATGATTGGTTATAATATTACTGGAAATCCTAAAAATAAATCAGCCATTTTGAAATCTAATATCTCCAATTTAAATGAAAATGCTTCATTAAATTTGTTCCAACTTCACGAATCTTATGATAATATTTTTATTTAAATGAGATCACTAGATTATGAGAAATTGAATTCCAAAATGATAGTTTTATTTTTGAAATTTCTGATAATATATTGTAGGGATATATATTTTTTCAATATAAGTAATGTATTATTTTTACAGATCATTATAATAATAAAAATTGTAATCTTAGACAAGATTTAACAATTTTACTTATAAGATTGTTGTTAATAATATAAAATTATTGAAAATTTTTAATCACTATCTAGTACATGAACTTTTTCTATTAAAATGATCAAATCAATTAATACTTCTTAATATAATAAATGCAAAACTTGTACTTACACTTATCATAAACAATTATTGCAATTTTTGTTGGTTCTTCATGTAAATGTGTAAGTTAAAATAAATGGTGAAAATAAAAAAATATCAGGCATACCTTTACTCTATTGGTTATAGCTTTGTCAAAAGATATTACCTGCTACCTCAAGAAATCCAACTTGACGCTTTTTTCCATGAATTATCATTAATTATGCCATCATGTTTAGATTTAACTGTAGTTTTTTCATTTCATTTCCAACCTCTCCAGTTTCAAGCCATATAAACGTTCGGGTAGTTTTAAATATGCTGAAAGGAAAGGAACTCAATGTCATTATTCTAGCTAAAAGTTTTTTGTTGAGTGTATATCGTCAACACTCAACGATTCCGAACTGAAGGAAGTAAAAGAATACTTACGGAGATGGCTAATTATTGGGCCTTGGCTTTTAGGTATTTTCAAATGGCCATGCGCATAACTCCTTTGATCGATTCATCAAAATTTTCCATTTGTTCTCGAATATTTTTCAACTGATGAGGAAATCGGTTGAAAAAATTCTTTTGTACAATTCGCCCTAGTTATAATAATGATTTTCTCAGAGACTTCAACTCGATATAGTGAGTTATATATTATTAATATTCTTTCGGTATAAGTTATAGTGAAGATTTTTTTCGCTTACTCGATATCTTCACTATAATGAGGTTTGCTATCCAGTGATATTGATTCGTCAATTTTTCTGGAATGTATGTTCCTCTATATTATTTTCCTTATTCAGTTGGCGTTTTCCAAAAATGAAACAGTCTTCCCTGTCACTCTTGTTAGAATCATTTCCTTCCTTGTCAGCTGACAACAGATTCTGAGAATTTGTACTCCGCCTTAATATAGATAATCGAATTAAGGTAAATGAGCATCAACAATATGGATCTGCTCGTGGTTTTCGTAAGAGATTTGATATCTTGGAAAAGACTGTTTTTTGCTAAACTCTCAGTGAACTGCAAATCAATGTTCCGCTCGTAGAAGTCAACGATTGAAAAAAATTGTTGCACAATAATTTTACTTTTTCAATGTTTCGGATCAGTCAAATAAACTTCCGTTTTATCTTCAAGTCGGTGGTGAAGTTATGAGTCACCATGACATGTAAGGGCATGTGTTTGATAAAGTTTAGCTTTTATTGTTTTACATGGATCAGAGCGTTAACGCTGCTCGCCCTATAAGAATATTATTCATATGGACAAGTATAAAAGAGGTGTTTCATCATGTAGTTTAGTAAAATAGCCTAATCTTAGTAGAAGTTCTTGTGCGGAACAGTATGCCATCTCTATAAGTTTTGCGCAGCTATGGGCTATGGACTGAAAAGGCCATTTGGCGCAATCTATTTAAGTTGATTGGCGTAGTTAAAAAATAATGCGTCGCGATAAGCACCAATGATATATTTTTTAAATAAATACAATAACAATTTTACGTTTACAAGAGATTCTACAATTTACAAGATGTTTAATTACGTAGCTCCAATCCTGCAATAATATCCTAAAACAAATAAAAAATCCATTAATTATTAAGTAATTCCGAAATCTATTAATAACTTGCATAGAATCTACCTGGAATTTGTTAATGTTCCGTAAAAACCAGTCTCCATATCGCCGACCAATTTTGGATTCGGCTATATGAATCATATCCTTTTTATGAAAATTGTAAATATTTAAAAAGTGTAGCACAATGATTTATAATAATTCAGATTCTTTAGTGTTAATACCTGTTTCAAACAAAAATCAAGGTCTGAGGTTGTGACATATTCACCCTCTAACAAAGTTCCACTATTCCACTTTTGCTGTCGAGACTTTTGCTTAAATATAAGCAATTGAGTTCTTGATGTGAAAGTGTGTATTAATAAAGATTCGGCACACTGATGCGTGAATCTAGTTTCAATTAAACTAACCTAAGTTCTTTGGGTTCTATATCCAAGAAAGTGGCTAATTTATCTATTCCCATAGTGGTATATAATTTGAGGTACGAGCGTAATGTAGGTATGAGAATTTGGTGTCGTACTTCAGCAAGGAAAATTTTAGCGTGGTGATGATGAGGTTCCTGTTGAATAATGAAAATAAACAAATTATCGAGTTTTTCAAAAAAAAAAACATGAATAACAAAAAAATATATTTAGATACAATTGATTGTGCTAAGCTGTTTGGATCTTCAAAATTTGGACCGATAGGAGAAATAAATTTGGGACACGCATACAAGAATAAATCTTCAAAAACAGAGATGCCCTCTTCCCTATTTTGTAGGAGCAGCCAAATGAATATATCAACATTGCAATTTATCTTCACGTAAAAGATTAAAAATTTTACCTACCCTCTTTGCATTTTTGTTAAATGCTCCCCATATTTTTCCCTTAGGTGTGAGTGAATATTTTCATCCAATCGTGTCGGACAAAGTGCAATACAAATAGCCAAGAGTGCATACATTTGATCACCCTTTTTATTAATCTATGATGGAATAATATGTAAAAATTATTCCTATATTGTACGTAGTTGAGGTGTTCTACATAAGCACAAGCACTAAATTAAATTCTTTACCTGGTCAAATTGATAAGAACGAGTATGATACATTTTTGTGCGTGCAATGAATACAAGTATATGTGAGAAAGCCTTAATTGCGTCTGCATATCTTCTCATCATCATGTATGAAAAACCAACATAATAATATGTCGTGACATGACAAGCGGTGACACGCGCAAACAGCGCCTAAAGCGTGAAAAAATCTCGAGATTAGAATAACTTTTCAAAGTTAAAGTCATAATTAAAAAAAAAGTAGCACACCTTTTTGTTTAATTCAATGTTATCCATCATTTTTAACGCTAAAGTATAATCACCCAAAAGACAATGAACACGCAAAAGTCCAATAATACTAAAATATCCCAACATTTTATATAAGGGTCTGGATCCATATTCGCCTGCAGCTTCACTGTCATTTATAAAAAATACTTTTTAAATATAAGTTAAACTTAAAGACAACTATTAAAGCATTCACATCACATACACCATATCGCCACCATGTTTGCTAACCAGCAATTGTTCAGTAATCCTAGATTTGGTAATTAACGAGTATAAGACGTTCAACACGCTATAGCAACTCCAAACCTATATTAATTATTGAAAAAATTGATCAGCCTTCAAATATCATACATATTATCAGAAGAAAAAATGCACAATATTAACACCTGAATATTGTCGCGTAACAAAGCAATTTCTTCTTCGGATTTATTTTTGAGTCGATTGCGATAATTGCAAAAAGATTGAAATTGGTAGATAAATTCATCAATAATGTCCCAAAGCCATTGATTGGGAAGCTCCAAAGGAACAGGACCGTCGGAATCTTGATTGGTAAAATAAAGATTACTCAAATGTTAATAATTGGGAAAATTCTGCGGTTTACGATCATTTGAGGAATAAAGATTTATACTTAGTATGTAATTAAAGAGATCACAATAATTCTCGTAAGAATGAAAACGATGTTCAATGGTAGGTGTAAGTTTTGAGTAAATATGACGGTAATACAGTTCACGATACAAGGTCAAAAAAACTTGATCTATAAAATTGACGAAATTAAAAAGGAATAATTACTATAAAATTAAATTAATTAGCTCAGAATAACCTCAGATCTTACCATCATTGACCAATGGTGCAATAAAATCAGCTTCGGGCCAAGGCTGTTTCTGATAAAATTTCTCGGTCAATTTATTAAATGAAGTCTCATAGATGCCATGTAACTCGTACACGTTATTTTCCAGAATGTTACGGTGGAAATAGACAATGAAACTTTTGACCACATCAGGTATTTGCAATATTTGTACTTCAGCTGCATATTGTTGTTGCTGAATAAGCATTTGCTGTAATACCAATGGGTCTTTATAAAAGGTCAATGTTTATTAGAACCATACGAATATACAAGTTTATTCTGTCAACTTAAACTCGTACTAATCTATTCTATACCTTCTTCTCCTAGTAAATCATCTTCTACTCCTATATACGAGCTGTTAACTACTAAATCTATTTCAGAAGACAAATCGACGTCTTCCACGTCTTCAAAACCTTCTTGATGATCCATTTTAAGCGAGAGTAAAAATTTCCTATGATCGTCATCATGTAAATAACTGCTAATTGCTCATTGATCGATAAGATCTTGCAGATTGATCAAAAAATTTTATGACTATTTATATCACAAAGATATTTATTGACTTGGGATTTACTAAAAAGTACAAAAAAAAAGCAATAAACCCATTACTCAGAACTATATATAATAATAAATAATTTTTATATAAATATGTGTATATATAAGTGTGGGGAAATGTGTGTATGAAAAAAAAATTTACAATAATGCTATCAACTGAATTTGTTTCGAATGTATAAAGTCCTCAAATTTTCATCAAGAATAAAGAAAACTTACAAATCCTTTGCACAGGATCATAAAATAGTTTTTTATGATATATAATTTATTTAAATTTACATTATAGGATGCACCATTGGCATCCTGATGCATTATAATTATACATAACCACGAAGGGTTCTCACAAAGCCGCCTGTTTAAATTAATTTATATGTAAGTAACATGGAATGAATTAATAAAATTTTTAGGTTGTTAAATAACTTTACCTTTTTTATGCCCATACCTTCTGAACCTCCCTCTCGCTCATCGTGTAGCTACGTCCTCGTGGAACCCTTTCGTTTCCATTTTGAGGGAAATTAAAACTTTTCCGGCGGGTTCCATTACCATTATTATTGAAAGTGTTGGTTGTTCGATTACTTTTGCTATTTTTGGCAAAGGTTACATGAGAAACTTTTGCCTGTTGCAGTCGAACATCCTGAGGAGGCAAAGTCTGATGACTGAAGGTCATCGACCTTCCGCGATTTGTCTTTGCTTCACGCCCGTTAATGATGAGTGATTTTGTGGAATATCGAGCATCTTGAGAATTAAAACGTGCATCTTGTATTGAATATCTGGTATCCTGAATGTTGAAACGCGCATCCTGTGGTGAATATCTGACATCTTGTGGTGAGTATTTTATATCTTGCTCAGAATGGCGCTCGTTCATTGAATAAAATTTTGATTCGGGAGGAGAATTACTTTTGAATTCTCCATTCCTCGACATGTTACTCGGGCTTGCAAGCGGAGATGACTTTTTAGGAGATTGATTATTAGAGGAAGATGCTTCCAATTCTTGTCTGTGTCCCATTGTTCTTTGAATAACAGAAGACGGTTCTGGTTTTGTTTGCTTTCGAGCAGCATCTCGAAGATTTGGTTCACTTCTTTTCGGATATTGTGAAGATAGTAGAGAATTACTTCGAATATTCGGAATACTTCGTCTCGGTCCCAAGTTGAATTTTTCATCAGCGCCAGCGCCATCGCTTTGAATTTTTTCTGTACGATGATGATTCTTTCGATTATCATATGAAGAAATTTTTTGATCTTCATCAGAAGAATGTGGACTATTGTTCTTAGGATTTGGATTTGGTAAAGATAAGCGTCTATTTTGAGAGTCCACCAATCCATTAATTTTCCTTTCTGATTCTTTCCACGAAATTTTTGAATGTTTAACATTCCAATGCCACTTATTCATTTTTGAAACAAGTGCTTGCTCGTCATCTAAAGATTGTTGAACATTGTCCATTGATGGATCAGAACCCCACTCCAATTCAGCATTGTTCAAGAAGTTAATCTCGTGCATAGGAGTACTAGGCACTGTATCCTGATCATGGCCATTCAAAGTGTTCCTTCGTTGTTCAAAATAAGATGGAGATTGTATAGTATCGGGGCGTTTAAAGCCTTTGTCATGATCTCGACCATTTGGATGATTTCCATTGACTGGAAATCCATTGATGGCATTTCGACCAATATGAATTGTACGTGAATTATACCCAGAATTTTCTTCGCGGTTTTTAATTCTCCACGAGGAAGTTGGAGATTTTGTATAAGATGTGACTATTTCTGCTTCTGATCCTGAACCGGTCGTTTCCCTATAATTAAAATTAAATATATATTGAATATTAATTTGAGCAAATAAAATGCAAAATATTTAATTTTACTTACGAAAGCACATCGCGTAAATAGTTATAGTCCGGATCTTCTGCAAATCTCAAGGATCTGGTGTATTGTAAAAACGTCATAAAACCTCTAGGAAGATCCTTACAAAGTTCTTCCAAGGAAAGTTCTTGCTTCCAATCTTTCATTTTTTTCCATCCTTCCTGTGCATTACGAGCTTTAAGCCCGCTCCATGGCAACCTTCCTTTAAGGAGATCGATAAACAGGTATCCAAGAGATTCCAGGTCATCCCGTCTGGTATGAACTAGAAAGAGAAAGAAAATATGGTAAATATTTGGCCACATTAAATAGATAAAGTTTGATATTTTGTTTCACGAACCTTTTCCTTTATGAATATTTATACTGGCGTATCGTGCAGTCCCAGTTTTATACTTAACATATTGTCCCGAAATATGTTCACCGGTTATTGGGTCTCGATAGTAAGTAGAAAGACCAAAATCAATGATTGAGACCGTGTGCTTTCTCTGATACAATATTTGAGCATCAGCCGGTTGAGAATTTGTTTCCTCTTCATCAGATTCATTATCGGATAATTTTGAGGTTACAGGTAATTTGAATTCGCGTTCAAGAAGGAAATTGTCAGGCTTCACATCTCGATAAACGATACCATGACTATGAACTTTTTCCATTATAGTAACCTATCAAGTTCAAATTGGTCAATAATCTTTGGTTAGATGTGTTTAAGTCATGAAGATGTTACAGAAAACATACCATTTGTATCGCTAAGTCGCTAACAATCGGTACAGGCAATTTATCGAAAGTTGCTCGGACCTGTTTTAGTGTTGGTCCAAGCAAATCCATGACGCATACTTTATATACACCGTATATTCCAAACCATTGGCATTTTGGTACAAAGTCTGTTGTTACAAAAATAACGAAATTCATAATATTTAATTTATATCTCATGACACAGCATAATGTTAAATATTAAATATACATATTATCTTAGAATAACGTACCGTATTGTTTTAATAGATTTAAAAACTCAACTTCGTTCTCCAAATGTGTATTATCTAAAGTATCGATAGGTTCTCGTTTTGCAGCGTAATCCTTACCAGTAACGTTATGAAGAACTATAATTTATTGAAAAGAGCAATCTGGTTAGAAATGGTATTTCGTAATTATAGCATAAACACTATTAACACTAACACAGATAATATGCACACCACCGAAATAATTCATTTTTCTTTACAAAACGCCGACTGTTTCTTGAAAATCACTATGCCTACCTCGAAAGACCTCACCAAAGGAACCTTCGCCTATTTTTTCTTGGACTAACCAAGTTCCACCAATAATTACGTTGACCATTATTCAATAATAGTGATGCCAGTGGAAAGGGTTGGTACTTTTCTCCAAAGGCCAACGCAAGGAGGAACGTGGTTATAGAAAGTTATTATTTGGAGAAATCAATCAAGCGGCGTAATTATATGTAGTAAATAGGGAGAGAAAGGATTGAATTTAAAAAAAAAAACTAAGAAAGATTGGTTTTTCTCTTGTTGAAGTTAAAAGAATAGTAATTAAATATGAATGATATAAAGAGTTAACAAGAAAAGCACAGAAAAGAACCTTGTGCTGTTAATTTTTAGAAGCGTGTGTACACCGTGTGGAAATTTAATCGACAGTCTAACAGGGTTTTTTATAGTAGGTAAATAGGGTGCTAATGTTGGTATGTTTGACCGGATGAAGTTTCCCCATTTATCGGGCTGACCAATTGAAATTCGCGCACAAAGATTCTGTGATCTCCTGATTTTATTTAAAACGCAGATCGTATTAATCAAATGATTATATTTTGGTTTCACGGAAAATTTGTGCATAAGTTTCGTATGCAATTACACAAACACATACGGCCCAATTTAGAAAGCTTTGCGACAACCCTAAAGAAATTAGTGTTTGAAAAGAGAAGGTTTGGGCCTAAATTCCTATTAAATGTGCAAAACCGATCAAAGCAAACACAAAAGTGTGTGAAAATTAGAGTGGCATCGATCTACTTATAATAAGCATTGTGTACATTCATGTTGTATACATTGGGACTCTATTATTGCATATGAAAAAGCAGTGACCAGTACTTTAATAAATGCGCTTTGATCAACTCATCTTTTTTTGCATAATAATTCCCACCGTTATGTCTTTGCACATGGATGTTTTCTAATCAAATGATAACCAATGAAATCATACTACACGTAATTAATTTAAAATAATTAGTGCATGCCTAAATATATTAATTATAGAATTCTTGATGGTAAAAGAATTTAAAATTATCAATAGTATACGAGCGAGACTGGTCAATCTTAAAAGAAAAAAGGTTGTCGAAATCCATTAAATTATCAACCAATTTTATATTGCTAGGTTTTTCCTTTAATGCGTGGAAAATGAGCGCGCATCAAAACACTCGCACAACTTTTATTATTGACTTACTTTTCTTTAGTTTATTTTTCTCAAATCAACATAAATTTATTTCCCGCAAAATGAAACATAGGATTTAGCAGAGCTTTCTTATTCTATAACAGAACATATTATTGGTGAAATATTAAAACTTCTACTTAGTGAGGAGGTTATATATTTACATTTATACATGCTCAAACTTCTTTCGCAAAACTTTTGATCGTGAGGCTATGGTGAAATTCAAAAATATTGAGGCACATATCAGTACTCATCTACTTTTTGCACAGGTTCGGTAGCTTGTGGCTGTGTAAGTTCTATCTCATGTTACGCAAGTTCCCAAATTCTATATTAGTTTAAATATTATATAGACACATGACTTAAGTCTGAATTATGGCTTGATTTCTTTAATGCCGACTAATTTAAATTTAGATCAAAAAGTTTTTTTGACATGCTTCGGGTTAATGTTGACCAAAATTATATATAATTTATTCGAATTTTGCATGCATGCACTTGTGACTTATTTATTAATGTTAGCCAAAATTATATATAATTTTATCGACATTTAGTCAAAATCATTTTAATAATCAAAATAAAATTTTCAGATTATCTAAGCAATATTTACAGATCTCTGTCAATAATATCTAATATTACCAATCATATACTTAGCAAAATTTTATTAAATGATTTAAAAAAGTCTATTCTTTTATTATTATTCATATAATCAATTAGCAAAATTCTATTAGATTAATTTATAAAGTATTATTTTATCAAATTTATTAATAATTAATAAAAAATATTAATTTTTATAAATAATAATTTATTTTATTATATTAATTATAAATAAAATTTATATTTTATATTTAATAAAATTTAATTAATTAATAAACTAAAACTAATAATATAAGATAATAGCCATATATCATATAATAAGTAATTACTATAGAACTGACTTCCTCTTTCAATAATTATGTGATATATATTTATCTCTAATTTTAAATTTAAAAATATTTATTAAATAATAAAACTTTATTTTTTTCTGAAAGTTATTTTAATTATAAAGTTAATACAAAATTTTTTTAATTAAATTTTATTTTTAATTAGAAAAAATTTTGTATTAGCTTTATAAATAAAATAACTTTTTTAAAAAAAATCTAAAAAAATATTAAATTATAATTTATAAATATTATTTTAATATAAAAATAAAAAATTATTTTTTAATAAAATTATAAATTTTAATATAAAAAGAAAATTTTTATTTTTATTAATAAAATTAATTTTTAATTTTATAATTTTATTAATTATTATATAATAAAATTTAATATTAAAATTAATATATAATTAATATAATAGATTAAAATAAATTCAGATTAAAATAAATTTTGAATCTTCTTTTATATATATTATTTTATATATATCATATAATTTTATTTTATCATAATATAAAATTAATATTTATATATTATTATAATTTACTATTTAGAATATCCTGGATATATTCTATTTCATAGGCTAAAACCTGATTTGTATCTGAGAGAGTATATTATCTAGCAGTAGGTACTCTAAAGTAGGAGATTTGTATTCAGAAGATATGATATTGAGAGGGTATAATTCATAGTAGATGTAATATATATTAAATTCTTCAATATGCTAATTGATTTTTCCTTTTTTCCAAATGTATAAACTTCTTTAATTTTTTCTTTTTCTAAACATATAATTATTTATTTATAATATTGATAAAATATTCTTTATATTAAATTAAAATTAAGTTTTTAGTTACTAATTTAACTGAAAGTATAATAAAAAAATAATGCATTCTACCAAAAATATGACAAATATTAAAATCAAAAAATATAATTGAAATATATATAAAAAATTAGCTATACTTATTTATCTCAAAAATAAATTTAATACTAGTAAATGTAATATAGCAGAAAAATTTGATATTCAGCCTAAACAAATCTGAGACTAGATATATAAATATGAAAAATTGAAGTATTCAAGATCTCAAATAAAATAACTTACTTTTAGTATGAGATCTTGATATTCAGTATTAGAGAATGATCTTGTTATTTAAGTGAGATTCTTATATTAAGAAAAAAGATTATATCATGTTTTATGGTTCATTTAAAGACAAAATCTTTGACAAAAAGATCATGCTTTTTTGTAATTTATTCAAATATTAGTGATTGTAAATAGAATAATAAGTAGTTGGATAGATTTATGAATTACTATCATCTCAATATTCAGCATCATATTACAGTTTTCCAAAAATTACCAAATGAGTTAGAGTTAATACAACATCAGTTTTTAAGTTTTATATTATATTAGTATATTTAATATAATTATTTCTTGATACTAATTGGAAATATAAATGAAATATCACTTATCTTTGATATTTCTAATAATATAACTATTAAAAAAACTGAAGTAAGCATTATTAGTATTTGGATAACAGAATATGAAAAATCTAATTTTACTATTATATTAGCATATATGACCAATAATAAAAAGTTATCTCTAATATTAATTTTTAAATTAGTCAATATTTTATGCCAAAAGTTTCTAGCTAAAGTAATAATTCATATTAATCAAGAAAAGTATATAAATAGTAATGAAATGATTTGATAGATCAAAAATATATAGAATTAATATATATTATTATTAAATAATTTACACTTCTTGTTAATCTTAGATTCTTTTTATAATTATTTAACTGATCCTATCAAAAATTAACTCAATGAAAAAAATATAAATATGACTGTAATTCCAGATGGATTGACCAGCAAACTTTAATTATTAGATATATATATATAAATAAATTATTTAAATTAAAAATAAGATTAAATATTTTTGTATTATTTATTTGATATATTAACTTATATATTTATTTATTATAAAATTTTGATATTATATTTTTTAGAATGATAAAAATAAAATTTTCTAAAATTATAAATTATATTAATTAGTAATATTTTATGAAATTACATATTAAAAATAATAAACTGAAAGCTATTTTAATTAAAATATTATAAAAAATATTTTTAAATAATTTTTTATAATATTTTAATCAGAATTACTTCTAGCTTATCATCTTTAATATGTAATTTTACAAAATATTACTAATTAATATATTTTATAATTTTAGAAAATTTTATTTTTATTATTCTAAAGAATATAATATTAAAATTTTGTAAATTTTTAGTAATTTCTTATTAAATTATAAATAAAAAATATATTTATTATTACTTTTTATATTAATTATATAATTTAATATAAAAATATTTATATTTTATAATAATCTTAATAAAATTAGTTTTTATATTTAATTTTTTTTAAAAAAATAAAAACTAATAGATATTTAAATTTATTATATTATAAAAATTTTATTAAAATTTATTATTATTATCAAGATTATTATTATTATTTATTTTCTCATCTAATAAATTATATTATTATCTAATATTTTATATTTTTTGACTCTTGTAAGTATTTTTTTCATAATTTTACTATTATTTTTAATATTATTTTTTTTAAAAGCTTTTTAAAACTTGTTTTTAATATTTAAGAGATTTAAATATAAGTTTAACTT